TTAAACCCAGACAGTTGTGAATGATTTCTTTTTAACTACTTTTAAAACACCTTCAATAAAGATATGTCTTTTTGTTTAACTTCACGATATACAGAAACATTTTTTGAGATTTTCTTCAATAAATACCTTGTAACAAGTTGACAAAATTGGATTGTTGTAACTTTCCTTTTTTTTCAAATAAATCCGTAACCATTTGTTGATGTTATATTCGTCTTTAAATCAATTTTCTTAAGTAACGTGTCACGAAGACTGAATACTTTGTATATAGCAGGAGTCAAACATGTCTATGTTTAGCTAAACAACAACAGAAATAGCTCCTTTAATTTTTTTTTCAAAATCTATTAATCAGTGCTCGTCTTTCCTTGACTCCATTTAACAAAGATTATACGCCACAACGTTATATTTCCCAGTTATCAGACACTGATCACACTTTTATTTAAGCATACATGTGGTCTGTTAGAATGTTTAAGTATTTTATCTACAAGTACCTGTTATTTCTGGTAATGTCTCCTCCTTCGGCAGATTATGTGAAACTGCTGTAGTTTTCCACCTAGCAATACATCATAGTTGTAAAGTATTGAGGAGGTCACTGTCGTCATGGGAATGCCAAGTTTAGAATACAAAATGCTACAGTAATAACAGTGCACAATGCCATAAAGTTGTCCAGTCGAGAGGGTCCTGAAATAAATATCTACATAAGGTTTAAACGTTTTCGGTGCCATCTTTTGACTCAGACGTAAAAACAAAATTTCAGTTGCTTGATGCATTTGCTTTAATCGGAAGCAAAATCTTCAAACAAACATTGTTTTTATTTTCGAAATGAACGATCGAGATTTGCTTGCTTGATTAGGTCCGTTCTTACTCAATTCTTCCAATACTAATGTTTTCGAAAGAGGAAAACATAAACCAAGTATATTTGGATTCCGAAACTCCACAGGGACCCTTTATATGCTTTATAGTTAGCTTTACTAGTTCTTTAGAGAGGTTCAATATCAAATGTTTAGAGAATTCCACTATCAAATGTTCAGAGAGGTCAAATATCAAATCTTCAGAAAGGCCAAATATCGAATATTCAGAGAGGTCAAATATCAAATCTTCAGGAAGGCCAAATATCGAATGTTCAGAGAGGTCAAATATCAAATCTTCAGAGAGGTCAAATATCCAATGTTCAGAGAGGTCAAATATCAAATCTTCAGAGAGGTCAAATATCGAATGTTCAGAGAGGTCAAATATCAAATCTTCAGGAAGGTCAAATATCGAATGTTCAGAGAGGTCAAATATCAAATCTTCAGAGAGGTCAAATATCCAATGTTCAGAGAGGTCAAATATCAAATCTTCAGTAAGGTCAAATATCGAATGTTCAGAGAGGTCAAATATCAAATCTTCAGAGAGGTCAAATATCGAATGTTCAGAGAGGTCAAATATCCAATGTTCAGAGAGGTCAAATATCCAATGTTCAGAGAGGTCAAATATAAAATCTTCAGGAAGGTCAAATATCGAATGTTCAGTGAGGTCAAATATCAAATCTTCAGGAAGGTCAAATATTGAATGTTCAGAGAGGTCAAATATCAAATCTTCAGGAAGGTCTTATATCGAATGTTCAGAGAGGTCAAATATCAAATCTTCAGAGAGGTCAAATATAAAATCTTCAGAGAGGTCAAATATTGAATGTTCAGAGAGGTCAAATATCAAATCTTCAGGAAGGTCAAATATCGAATGTTCAGAGAGGTCAAATATCAAATCTTCAGAGAGGTCAAATATCCAATGTTCAGAGAGGTCAAATATCAAATCTTCAGGAAGGTCAAATATCGAATGTTCAGTGAGGTCAAATATCAAATCTTCAGAGAGGTCAAATATCGAATGTTCAGAGAGGTCAAATATCAAATCTTCAGAGAGGTCAAATATTAAATCTTCAGAGAGGTCAAATATCAAATCTTCAATAAGGTCAAATATCGAATGCTCAGAGAGGTCAAATATCAAATGCAACTGCATCTTGACCCTCGAAATATTTGGAGAAACGCCTTACTATGTCATGAAGAACACAGGCTACATTGGTGCAATCTAATGTGTTTTCTCTCTATGAGACTGTAACTTACTTGAAGCCAAATATCTCTCGCCTTATACCTGTCTTAATTAAAAAAAATGATGTTTTACAAACATTTTCTCGATAAAGATATCTCCCTGGTTTGTATTTGTATAAGTAGAGGCAAACTGTTTCTCGGGTAAACAAACACTTCAGATTGTGGTTAGGTATTGACTTTATATTTCCCATTACCAACACACCATGTATCATCAATGTTTGCTGAAATTTTCCACGTTCAAAGCACTATGAATACCTTGATGTGCCAATGTCAATAGGGGGCTCAGACAAAACACTAATTGAAGCAGTACTTCCTTATGCAATCCACATTGATATTCAGGATGTGTTTTTTTACAGAAGATGATTCACACAGGGATTATCCAGGTGCTTTAACTCTATCTAACAAGCTGTGCTGTTTATTATGCAACATTCGCAGTCTGGTCCCAGTCGTTGAAAGTCATGTGATATTCGAGTCGTCTGATCACGTTCACGACGTGGTACGATAACTTTGTAAGGTGAGTTCATCGACCTCGACCTTCTCAGCTTAATTTTAGTCAATGTTACTGTTTACACAGCAGTATTGGGATTATTCCTTATAGTATAATATCATAAACAAGAGTTGAGACAAATGTACAAATATGATTTGTATTTATTTTCTGACATATAACATAATCATGATCACTTCAACATCAAACATTATATATCACAGCTTGGCCAGTATAATAGCTTAAAAAAATAAAAATAAAAGGTAAATAACAAAAGTGAGGTTTCCCCCCCCCCCACCCAAGACTCTTTGCTGATATCGTTTATAAGTTTCCTCTTTGTAATTGCTGTAGTTAAACAAAGCAAACATGAAATGACCTGAAACATCTGTTACTGTCACCTACAACTTTGTTTCTATAACATCCAGCAACTGTTTACACTGCTGGTTAATTTTCTTTTGGTGTGCCAGGAGTATACCTCATGTTCACTTAAAGTCCTACCTAGGCCAAAGTATAAGAAAAGTCTAGCTATAATGTAAGGAATGTATTAAAGCCCTTAATGTATAAAAAACAAAATTCCTTTTAAAGTAACTAAAAATACAAAACTACAATGGTTTCAATATAGATTAGTCCATCATATTCTGACAACGAACTCCTTTATCTACAGATTAGGTTTAGTTGCCAGTCCACTCTGTCCCTTATGCAATGTAGAACAGGAAACCATAATCCGCATCATGTGGGAATGTCAGGAAGTACAAAATTTTTTACAAAGTCTTGAAGTACTTCTAGAAGCACTTGTTATTCCTTTTGCTTATAATAAAGAAAAATTTCTCTTTGGATTTTCATTACAACATCAAATGCTTACATCAGCAAAAATTGACAATGTAATACTAATAATTATTAAGAATTATATCTATAAGACTAGATGCTATCATAGAAGATTAAACATTAATGCACTTGTAAATTATATCAAAGAATATTACTCTGTTCAGAAATATATAGCAAATAGTCAAGGGACTCCAAAAAGATCAGATTTGAAAATGAATGGAGAAAATGGAAGTCTTTGATGGAAATTGCATAATAATTTGTGCAGGTAAATATACTTCACTGTAAAATGAAAACCCTTAATAATGTAGGATTTATGATGTGTCTATTGTTGTATGAGTACTTTCAAATATAATGTATGTAAACATTTTACAATCTGCACTAGGATAACTTGATTATGCTGAAAAATTGCATGCATTATATAGACCGATGTAGTTTCATTTTACTGTGTAGTATCAATACTGTAGTCTTCCCTCAGTTGGCTTTACTCTGTGATGCTGTATAATAACATTATAATTACTAGGCCAATATAGTATATATATATATTTTTTTTTTCTTCACCCCTTTCTCTTTCAATCATACTCATAGTTAACAAGCTAAATATTTCTCCAGGACTAGCAGACTTTACAAAGAATAAAATGACCTTTCATTGTGTATTTTAGATTTTCAATATACTCAAATATAATTTTTCTCTCTTCCACTAGCCCAAAGACCTCTGTCTTGTTCCTTGCTTGTCTCTTTTTATCTCTGCTATTCTCCTCTAAAGTGTGTGAGGGTTTCAAAATGTAAGTGAAAAAGATTAAAAATTGTTGGTGAGTGAGATACATAGATGTGATATGAATGTTTAGCCCACTATCACCCTCTCTTTTCTTCTCTTTCTTTTTCTCTGTCTCTCTATGTGGAAGGAAAGTGTGTGTGCGTGTGTAATAAAGATGACAAAGTCATGTGTTTTGTTGTGTATATAGAAATGGTAATTGGTTTTTGAAAACCATATTTTCTTAATTATATATCTATGGATGAACCCTGATTGCAATATTCTAATGCTGATGGCAACTATGAAGATAAGAATGTTGTGTAAACTAGGATATTATCTACAATATACTTAAGTTATTGATTGCAATCCTATACAAGTATGGAAGTTTCTGTGTGTGGAGTGTGTGTATGCTTATGTGATGTTAACTATACTTGTAAAAAATGCTTAAAAATAAAAAATTACAAAAAAAAAAAAAAAAACCCAAATGTATCCTTGGTAATTCTACTGATAACTTAGTACAATCTCACCGCACAGAACATCTCTTGTTACTTGAATACATACAAATATGTTGTCAGGATGACAGTTGTGTACATAACTTATCACAAGAATCAAAGAGCATATATGGCTGAATTTGTCGAAATTGGGTAAGAAGTTTTCAAAATATAGGAATTTAGTATGTATATAAACTATACTTCAAATAAATTTAAAATCAATAAACTGCAAACTCTTGTACATACATTGTACAAACTTGTATCCCTACTGTTTATTTTCAGAACAGTTACAGGAAATGCAGCATAAATTTATAATTTTTGGATACAATAATATATTTTAAGTATCAAAAGAAGTTCAAAAAGTGTAATGTTCTAAGGCTTGAAAAATCATCCAATGAATGAAAACTGCAAAGATTTCATAAGTATGTAAAAAAGGATTTTTTCAATTTTACACAACAATGACGATGATATATATCTTTATTAAGTAACGAGATTCAGATTTGTCTATTAAATAACAATTACCAGTATGTACCCATCTTCAGTGGACTACTGTCACTACTATTTCCAAATACATATGATGTAACCTGGGGGGGAGGAATGGAGGGGACTTCTGGTATGCCATTGAATACTGATATCTATCGAAAGACAATTTTAATGCATCTGGTTCATTTTAACTTGACAGTAGATCGATGTCATTCTTTGATCAAACTTGATATCTCTCACTCTACGGGCATCTGAAGTTGTGTAGGTAAGCACTCATCTGATTGAGCTGTTATGGCCCACCTATAGACACATATTTTCACACAATAATATAATACAAAACTTTACTTGCTATAATGATTTGGAAAACACTGTAGAGGTCTAAGACACTACAACACCTGAAACTAATTTTGCAAACAATGACAATTTTTCGTTATATTCATGCAGAAAATTTCCTTACCACACATAGAATGTTCAGTGAAACAGAAGAACCATTATTGATCCTTCTTTCCATTATTTATGTGATACGATTAAACCAGTTCTCTCCCCTTCCTCCAGGGTCTGATGGTGGGTAAATTGGGTCAATAGCTGTCTGCACTAGACTGCGGGCAAGGTCCGGCAACAGCTTCCTGTTGAGGTTAAAAATCAAAGTTTAGCCAATGATGATGTTTTCATAATGTGAAATAATGCCACACATATCTCCAAATCCTTTTCAACATCACATGAGGAATAAGATGTCTTCATTGTTCGGCTTTTACCAGCATCACTTCGAGTGAAATAGCAATTCTTTTAATTTGTTTTGTCTTGTGACTTTTTTATAATATTTACCATCATCTCACTGAAATCTGGTTACGATACTGAAATGTATGTTATACAACTGTAAAATCGTCACTGTATATTGGAGTTATGAAAGAACAACAATAATAAGATATCTATATGTACCCTAAACTTTCTAATGAATAGACAAGTCTGTCAAAATATTTTGTAAGGATGTAAGGGTTGTCAATATATTTCTGAGGAATACTAGAGTTATTTCCCCTATGTAGTTGCTACTTACTGTGCACAAGCAGGTGCTCCATTGATCTCCAGTAACCAGATCTTCAAGTCATCATCCAACATAAAGTCAAAGCCAAATAGCTGGAAACTCTGGTATCCAAGACAACTTGTACATATACGCTGTAAGATCATAGGTTACAGATATACATATGTACACTGTAAGGTCAAAGGTAATAGAGAATTCACCATAGAATGTTGCTACATCTTTTCCGAAGGTCAGAGGTCATAAGTAACACCAGGCCAACTCAGCCTGGTGTACAATGCTCAAGTAGGGTGTAAAAATTATCGCAATTCAATAATAAGACTAATACAGGGCAAAACAATGACAGAGTAAAATACATTATTGTATCAAACTACTGTTAATTGAATCACCACTAAGAAAACACAATATCATGCCATGTCAATAAAGTCAATGTAATTCAATTGACAAGAAAAAAAAAAAATATGACAAAGCTAAAACAAACAAAAGGGCAAATACTTTTACAAAAATTTCAAATTGAAATGTCATTCAAGAGCCCAAAACTTCGTGTCATGGTCATAAGCATCCCAAGGTTAAAAGTGATGCCTTGTGTGTGAGTACTTTTCTTCTTCTCTTCCTTAATACATGTGATTATTATACCTCAAAACTATTACCTACTTTAATCAATCCATATTATAAAACATATTATAATACCGGCTATCTTGTGGGAAAAAACTTGTATAGGCTTAGCCTGTTGTTTGATCCCAATTGTTATTGCATTTGTTTGTAATGTTATATGTGTGTGTTAAATGTATGCATTAACATTAAAATATTTTTGAAATGAAAAGTGATGCCTAGAATCTGAGTGAAGATATCTCAGGAAAAATATCTCATTTATCATAGTTATTAAAGGTATGAAGTTTGATGGAAACTGCTTAAAAACAAGATAAAAGCTGCTGATTAAACAAAGTTGTTGAATCCAAAACATCTCCAGGAAACACAATTCAATGTCATGGTTTTAAAGGCTACTGAAGTGTTTCCATGGGTACAGTAATTATTGTAGGAATCTTTTAAGTGGGTCCACCGCAACATGTCTAAAATTCTGATCAGTCCCATTACTTAGAGATAGAGTGGGTTTTCAAAATTTGAGGGCATATCAAAGGAAAATCATGAGTCAATGACTCAAATATCTGAGTCTCATAAAATCACTGGGGCGTGAATATACCAACCTCTTTTACTATGGACAGACAGGTTTTAATTATTTCTTTTATCTGTGGTATAATCACTGCTTCCATGGTTACAGAAGACTTTTTCCACAAATATCTGAAATAGAAACAAACTTAGATGAGTTACATAACTGTATATACATAAATGAGTAATATTAACACTTATGAGGATTTTCACAAGCTCCATATTTTGTCTGATGGCATGGGGGCGAGGGGTATCACACATCTATCCAATATGATAGCTTATTTTTGAATTAGAAAGAGAAAGATTTTTTTGATCAGATAATGTCAAATCATTTTGAAAGACGTGAACATCCTTTTTTCTGCCAAAGAAAAATAGCTAATGTATCCAAAGGAACAGAAATATGGAAATAAAGCAATAACTGATTATCATTCTGGTGAATAAGTACCTGTTCATGTCTTAATTATAGAAATTATTCAAAGTTTAAAAGAAATTGGTTGAAGGAACTCTAGACAAGATAAAATAGTTGAAAAATAAAAACACACAAGGGACCATTATCTTCCTTAAATTAACGAATTTAAGAGAATCTGGAGGAAAAGCAATAACAAACTTTCATTGTCAAAATCCAAGATGGCCACCTGTTCTCAGCCATTTTGTTTTTCTAATCAATCCCAAAATCTAGAGTGCACAACTGGGGACCAAGGGAAACTTTATATGAGATCTAAGAAAGATCCATCCTGTATCTTCTCAAGATAAAGTTTTATCAAAAATTGATCATGGATGGACAACAGATGTTGGGTGACTTGATCAGCCAATCATCTGATGATAATCAAATTTTATGATGGCTGACATCTTATTATAATATCTTAACTTTTGAAGGACATTTTTATTCACATTTCTCCCATTTTTCACTGAAACAATAAAACCCCTTCCCTAAAGTTAATAAAACGTACCTGTTAAATTGGTCGTAAAACATCTCATTTCCTTCCTCATATGCCCCAAAGTTTGGTGATAACTCAAGTTGTAGACAGTGGTTGGTCAGATGTCCTAAGGTTGCATCAAGGTCGTCTGCTTTGTAGCTTTCTGAAGCTGTCCTTAGTACACCCTCCCGAAATAGATAGATATTATAGTTGGTATCAAGTAGGACCCAGGATCTGTTAAATAAGAAATAGATTATTTAATTATCTTATAAAGTAGATATGATTACCTTCGACCTCTGTCTTGCATTTTAAATAAAATCTCTATCACTCAATTCACTACCCTAAGATTCCCACCATCATCTCGGGTAATTCAATGTTCATTTGACAGTTATCAAGAGAGAGATGGAATAATGTGATAGATTTGTTAGATCCGGGGCACAAACAACAATCCATAAATATACCCAATAACTCACAATTTTGAGACAAGTAAAGTGGTGAATTTTTATCTGCTATATACCTCATTAAATTTTTTATTCTTTCATAAATATATTTTCAATAAGCCTTCTTTTTCCGATCACCCTCCCACCACACTTAAACCATAACATGGAACCAACTCAGAGAAACTGGCCGTTATATGTTCGCCCACATCATCATATACAAACAAAGAATTTGAAGTTGAATACCAGTTTAAAAAAAAAAAAACGGTGTGTAAAAGAATAATATCCCATGCCAATTGAACATACTGTCAGAAATATTGTTCAACAGTAAATAATGACATATACTTGGGAAAATTATGGTATTAAAAGGCATGCAGTATGATAGATCAGCTGATGAAATTAAAGAGTGAGATTAAAAATGCCATATCAAAGAAAGAGAGTTTAATGGTTGTTTTTACAGACTTTGAAAAAAAGCCTTCAACTTGTTATGAAAGGAGGGATTTGTGTATAAACTAAGAGGTATTACTGTTCATGGAAATATGAATTCATACATAAAAATAATTTTAAGAAATAGATATTAGGCAGATTCAACAGGAAGTATTTTTCAAATATTTATATTGTTGAAAAGGAACCACTCCTCCTCCTCTACCCACCCTGACTGAGGAGTGTGGTGTCACCAACTTTAACCACAACAGACTAATACTACTCAATTTGCAGATGACAGTGTTGTATTGTATCTAGAGCACATAACAATGTTAAAGCTTTGTGTACTGCCATTTCATGCCACCTAACACTTATACAGAAATGGTATTCAACCTCGGTTTTAAAATTTCAAGACAAAAATGATAGTTGAATGATGTATAGGTCACCCAAAGCTGTAATGCAAAGGTACCTAGGTAGGTGACCAAACAGATGTAAAGGACAAACCAGGTTAAAACAATGGAGAAACTGCTGAATTTTTGTAGTTTAATTGTCTTCCTTTTCGGCTTTCACCTCACCAGTGTATAAAATCCAAAATTCAACTGTATTAAGTACGAAAAAGCTTGATACCGAACTTATGAATAGTGGATATATATTGTATGCTTTGTCTGGATACCCAGCCACATAGATATAGTCTGTAATGACTTAGTTTGGAAAGAAAAGAATCACCACCTATACAAGACTTAAACTATACCACTACATCCTAAACTTTATATTCAACAAAATGGGGGTGTCAATAATATCATATTTCACAAACAACACCATCTTATATTTTGGAATATGATAAATTTCATATGCAAATCAAACTCTTTCCTAATAGATTAAATTAATTTTTTAATTTCATATTATTTATACTTTCAGAAAAGTTGAATTTATTTATGAATTATATTGATAGTTGCTAGTACTTAAGACTGTGTATTTGTGTGGTTGCGTAATGATAGTATGGTGTATAGTTGAATGTTGTGAGAAGGGGTGTGCAAGTTTTTGACTTGATCACCACCATGGAGAAGATTTATGGAGAAGATTTATATAGGCCTCTCTTGTTATCTGGTGTAATCATGTAGAAAGTTAAATTGAAAAGTTTCTATACCAAAACTTTTAATAACTTCACAGGAAAAAATATTTCAGTTCCTGGATGTTAAAAGTATCAAAACTTTTTAACACAAAAGTATCAATATCCTACACTGTCGATATATGTATTGTAGTTGGCTGTTTTTTTAAGTTATTAGAATCTTAGGTGGGACAGAGAGGTGTGATGTATTGCTCTTTCAAAGTCAAGCCAAAAGTCGCCATCCCACTAAATAACAATATATTAATTTGAGGTGAATTTTATAAATATCCTGTTTCAAAGTTTCAGTGAACACACAGGTCAATCTACTGTGAATTTACAAGACTGTAGATTAAAGTGGGAATGGTCCCCCAATATACAGGCTAGATTTTTCATAAGGGTAAATTGTTAGGTTCCCTTTCAATAGGATTTTCTCAGAATGAAGTTGTTATAGAATTAGTTTGATTAACAGATGAGGTCCATACCATAAAGGGACAGTCCGGATACAGCCTCCTCCCCTACAATCTGTTTACTAGCTGAATATCAGTAAACAGATACTACAAAACAATACAATGAATTTTAAGAGCAATAGGGTAATTGTGCTATACAATCATGATCAGTCCCCCATTTCGATCAAAAATATTATAAACTACAGTTGCATGAAAACTAGCCCTAATTCCAAAATGGATTTACCATGTACCCAGCCAAAACACAACAACACCTAGATATCAGGGGATATATCTCTGATATGTTTACTCACATGACAATAAGCTCAGCAAACAAGATATCATAGAGTCAAAGCTTACTAGTATGGTAGTTCCAGCAAGTTAAACAGGACCATCATTATGCAGGGAACAATGTGGGTGCTGGTGCTGAAGGAGGTACATAAACTTATATCCATTTTACTGTATTTCTAGAAAATAACTTAATACCTTGTAAATCAGACAAGATAACTGGAAGTTTCCATTTTCTTGAGTAAAAGAACTCATATTATGAAATAGTCTGATAATTTCTCTGATTACATGTATATTGACTTTCCTTTATATGTTAAAAAAATCCTTACTATTTATTGTCCAGTGAATATCATTAAAGATTTCTTGTTGTGAAATCAGAAGGTGCATTAACAGTAACGCCAAGCCATTCCTTGTCAAAGCTACCTTCAGTACGTATTCTACTGTACAGTACTTCATAACCACCTCTCATCTACTTACCTGTACAGTAACACCAAGCCATACCTGGACAAGAGACCTTTGACCGTACCTCCATTACCACCTCTCATCTAAATACCTGTACAGTAACACCAAGCCATACCTGGACTAAAGACCATTGATCTTACCTTCATTACCACCTCTCATCTAATTACCAGTACAGTAACACCAAGCCATACTTGGACTAAAGACCATTGATCTTACCTTCATTACCACCTCTCATCTAATTACCTGCACAGTAACACCAAGCCATACCTGGACAAAAGACCATTGATCTTACCTTCATAACCACTTCTCATCTAACTACCTGTACAGTAACACCAAGCCATACCCGGTTAAGAGTCCTTTGACCTTACCTCCATTACCACCTCTCATCTAATTACCTGTACAGTAACACCAAGCCATACCTGGTTAAGAGTCCTTTGACCTAATCAGGAGTGAACATTATTCTCACAGTTAACTGTACTTTTCTTTGAAGTGTAATTAAAAATGATTATAACTTTTTGATCTAAATGTAGGTGGAGTCCATTTCAAACAACCAATCAAACTCATAAACTGAATTAACCAATCAGAAGCAAGCAGAGTCTATATAATATATTTTTTTTACCAATTGAAACCACTATTGCCTGAGCATCTCTTGGCACTGCTTGATCAACAGTTTATCTCTACACTGAACCATGGCTGAGATGACCACTTCTGACCTTGTCTGCTATGCACAGAAACTCCAAAGCCTTCTGCTAGCCCATGACAAGGCTGCCAAGCAAGTCAGCTTCTTAGGTAATTATCATAAGTATAAATGTTATCAGGTTTAAACTTTAAATATCAATTATTTTGTCTATTTCTTCTATTAATAGGATCAAACATAACAATCAAATTAGATTTTTAATATGTTTAATATTATTTTGCAGATACATTCTTTTTTAAAGTCAAAAGCCAATAAATGATTTTTTTCCTTCAGAGACATGCAGATACATGAAATATATGAGGATTGAATGAAATTGTTTCAAGGACTCAATAAAAAATTATGAAGGTAATGTGTATTTACTGACAACAGATTCCATGTTCATGTACAAAATCTGGCAAAATGTTATTCTCCCTGTATACATTTACACTGTATATCATGACATTGTGATAAAAGTAAATGATTTTTGTATATAAAAAAATGAATGTACACAAGAAACAATTTGGAATAAAATAATCACATGAAAAACACATGATGATAAAAAAACATAAAATAAGTAATATATAATCTAATATTTTTCTGAATGGCTTTTATTAAGAATACAACTTACAAGTATTTTTATAGAATATCATGTCAATGAAAATTTTCATATAAACTCCCTCTTTATTCCAGATGACCAGATGCTCCGCCTTGACCGCCAACTCTTTTTATCTACACTGGACGATGCCCACAGTCTTGTCCTCCACCTACTGACCCGCAAGTCCATCATCCAGGGTGTGCGCAAGATGTTTGACCAGTACCGATCCACCAAGCAACACCAAGTTCAAGAGTTATCTGCCCTTATCCTCTCATCCCTGGGAGGAGAGATGGACTTGGAGATTCCAGTCACAGCAGGACGGAATGTGGAAACAGATGAACTAGCCAGGATGTCTACAACTAACTACAGTGTTCTCTGGAGGGGTGTGTGATGCCAAAACTTTGTTGTAAGTTTACTGTTTAGGTAAATGAAATATTATAGTATAGTTAAGTGCTTTGTTTATATCTGTAGGATACCTAATATGAATTTCATGGTTAACTTAGTGCTTGTTGTTGACATTAATGTACACCTGTGTTTCTGTGTCCTAGTGCTTTGTTGGTATATTATCCTTTTATTTTTGTTTTTATGATGTGTAAATTTGTAATGTTTGTGTTACCATGTTGTGCTGATTTGTTGTCATTGTTAATGTTTGCCACTGTGTCATAATGTTATATTGTTATCATATCTTGTTGTTATACATTGTCATTGTATGTTTTTGTGTCTAAATTCTCGTACCTTGTAATATAATGTTGTGTTACTAGTGTAGTTTTTCATTGTCTTAGTGGTATATTAAATTTTGAAATATAAATATACATGTCATTTCATATTTTCTGTTTGTTTTCTCAGTGTTTTCATTTCTGCATTATGCATTTATCATATAAACAGCCAAGAGGTCGATAAGATATCAGAGACGACTGAGACTGTCATGGATTCACTGCAAATAACTATAATTATCCTAAGGAGAGATATTGTAATTGACCTAGTACATTGGACGGGGGAGAAGAAAGAGGGTAAGACCACATCCACTGTTGTAGAATTCAGTCAATATTGACAGAAGGAATGTATAAAGGCTAATTCTAGTAAAACTTACATATCTTACCAATCTCTGAAGGTAAATTCAAGAGACACATAGAAAACTGGCCAGTGTGTCAGAAGGCCAGGGAAGAAAAGAAAATGTGTGTTTGACCATAGATAAATTACATATTGAACATTATACACAGGTCCAGTACCATACCTGCTAACGGCCACGTTAGGAGACAAAGGATGCAGAAACAATTCCTTAAATTCATCAATCCAACAATCACTATGACAGTTAAGAATGAGAGTGTTTCACATATATTGATTGTACTTTATGGAACATTAGTGGTGTATTGCAAAAATAACAGAAATGTAATATTTTTCTCAAATTTACTCAAAAACAAATATTTGGATTACAAATAATTATGAAATGGAAGTAAAAGGTTATACTTCGTATTTCCACATAGACACAACATTCATTCTCAAGGAGTAGATAGACTTGAACCTCATTTCTGTTACTGAAGTTATCCGTGAAACTTTTGTTCTGCTACAAATTGAAGTATTAATTAGAAGAAAGTGTAAGACAACATACCAGTAAAAATGATACTATGTTAATGTGTGATTTCAATAGTTGTACCAGCAATATATACTAAACAAAAAAAGAAAGGTAACACTACTTTATTCTGTGATTAATTAATTAACCCCTTCATAAACGCTTACCAATCATGTACGAATAAAGTAACTGATCAATTCTGATAAAACTGCAGTCATGATTCATTATAAAACTTTGTTCAGTTGATTTTATTCGGCTGGACGTTGGGGTCAATTTCAAAGGTAACACCATTAGCAACAGGAATGGCCACCGTTTGCGAAGTAAACAGAACTGCAGCGGATAATTCGAGGAGATATGTTGTTCCATTCAGCAATCAAAGCTTGGGCCAGCTCCTGCAAGTTTGCCTGCTGATTTTGATGTTCTCTCACGTGTCGCCCAAGAACATTCCAGATATGCTCAATCGGTGACAGATCAGGTGATTTAGATGGCCAATCTACGTTATTCTGCTGCAAGAATGTTCTGCTGACGCGACTGGTGTGCGCTGGTGCGTTATCCTGTTGAAAAATGGCGCCAACGCCATGGCATCTTAAGAATGGTAGAACCACTGTTCTTAAAATTTCGTCCTGATATCGAATGCCGGTCAAATTGCCATTTAACAAAACAAGCCTGGTATGAGTCCCCCCACAAATACTACCCCATTACACTTCTGCCACCAAAGCGGTCCCGTTCTGCGACGCAGCAGTTCGCAAAACGCTCCCATCGTCGCCTCCACACTATGAACCTTCTATCACTGTGTTGCAGAAAAAACCTGGACTCATCTGAAAACAGAATCTTGTTCCATTGTCGTAAGGCCCAACAACGGTGAACATGGGTCCAGTTACGCCGATTATTACGGTGACGTCGCAACAAATTGGGTCCAGTGTAGGGACGCCGTGCTTGGTAGGCCCTCAACCTGTTGTGGACTGTTTAGGGAGACACACGATGCCCAAACAATGTCCTTGTAGTCTCTACTGCGGTTACGAATCGATTGCGCAAGTGTATCAATCGTATACGACTGTCATCCCTGGCGGTCGTTTTACTTGGTCAGCCACTTCGGGGACGAACAGATGTTGACCCAGTTTGGTTTAAACGACTTACCAACTGGCAAACTGTCTTAACACTGCAACCAAAATGTCTTGCAACTCGACGGCAAGACTCCCCAGTCTGGATCATGCCTACAGCCCTTTCTCTCTGTACTTGTGACAGCTGGGGCAAAATAATAAAGTTGATAGATAGCAAGATTCAGTGATTTCTATGTCCTAAGGATCTAAGGAACAGTTGTCAGTTTGAATGTTTATGAAATTCAAGCAAAGATACAAGTTAGTCGCAGACTTTCACGCTTGAATGATTTTGGAAACCCCCTTGGATTTTGTAATGTAAAACATTACCATTTTCTAATATTGCACAAACGCCATTTTGTTTTCACTCATTTACAGGTATTCGCCAAGGAAACATGTTAACTTTTCTTTTTTTGTTGAGTATATGTTATTAAGTGAAAAATTGTACTATACACGACAGTGTCCAATTGTTCACATACTGTGCAGACAAAATATCACTGGCATGATGATGTAATGAAGATTTTTTGGATACTGGTACTCTCTCCACTAATCATGATACCTTTAATGAGTCAGAAGTATTACCTGACAATGTCAACCAGTATAGTAAAGATAACTATGAGCATGTTTCTAAATTCACAAATGAATTGCTCCAAGCTAAGAAACTTTTTCATTAAGTTAAATATGAGTATATATAAACTTTATTTATTTTACAACAATTGCGAAACAAGTTATGCCAACTTATTCTAATCACTCTTGTTGGGCAGGATGTAATGCTCGCAAGGGTCTTATTGTGGGAGGAAACCAGAGTACCCCCGGGAAACCCGCTCCGGGAATTGAACCTCGGTCGACTAGGTGAAAGGAGTGCATTACCACTGCACCACCCGACCACCTACACATGAGTACTGATCAAGGTATAAGATGAGTTAAATAGAAAAGTTAACACTACATGTACCAAGATTGATGACTCTATCCCTATCTCTGATACTGAATGACTATCTTAGAGTTGGCAAGGCTATATTACTACCAACATTATGTATATCATTTAATTGAATTTTAGACTCTGACTGTTTTCCTTCAAAATGGTCTGTTGCAGTAATAACAAAAAAAAATAAAACTGAACCCAATAATGTCCAAGGTATTTACGTAGTTGTCTGGGTAAATTGTTTACATCTATATTGATCACAATATTGATATATATATCAGAGTCAGGTGATATTATCAGTGATCCCATTTTGGTTTTCCTCCTGGCAATACATAGCATTCTAGATGCTATTCAATTATTTCAATGTCATTATGTGAAATATATGACTTTATTCCTTTTTTGTTGATTTTAGAAATGCATTTGATCGGGTTAATTTATTTATGGTATAAATTGTCTAAATTAGATATTAGATGCAAATTTTGTGAATTATAAAGACAGTATATAAAAACATATCATCTTCTCTAAGATTTAATGGTGCTTTTTTCAGATTTTATCCATGTTGATGTTGATGACAGTTGTTAATTTTATCTCTTGATACTTTTTTAAATGTATGTAGATGTTTTTTAAGCACTTTTCATTTAAAGTTGTATCTAATCTTAATGCTATATGCAGATGACCTAGTGTTATTCTCGGAAACAGTGGAAGGTTAAAAAGAGTTGTTAGATTATTTGGCTAGCTATGATGAACAATGGAAATTCATAGTAGATATTGATAAGACAAAATTTCCCAAGGATGGGAAAATATGGATGAAATATGGCAAATCAGTGGTGATCAATCGACATATATCAGGGTTTATAAAGTATAACAATGCATTCAACAGTATCCAGAAGCAATGTTCGCTTTACTTTCAAAATATGCAAACCTAAGGTTAAACAAGAGGCCTAATGGACCTGTAGGGCTCACCTCAGGGCTTAGGCAAATATCATGTCTCTAAGCCTATTCGTTCATGAGAAGTTGTTTCACGTTTTTAACAAATTTGACCCCTGTGACCTTGAATAAAGGTCATGGTCATTTCTTTTCACAAACTTTGTCTGGCTTTGCTCAGGCTTGATGAACTAACAATGTTACATATATATGATACATATGAGAGCAGCATATTGTGTTATGCATGTGAATCATGGAGGTCCTGGATGCAAAAGATAGATATTTAAATTTCTGTAAGAGACTACATAAAGAAAAAGAAAAGTACATGTTATGTACACTGTAAATTTAATTCTTGGAAACTTGGTCAAAATAAGTTGATTTTGAAAACTGTATTTTGAATAGTGGATATCATTTTCCACTGAAAAAGAGAACAGGAACCAGTTTTAAATGGATGCAATATGTAAACAATCTATTATTTGGTTTAGGATTTGGTGATTTTTGGTGAGGTCAATCAACTCTATATTTGAAAATACAAAAGAATTATGTCAACTAGATAAATTTATTGTTGAGTCAAATAAGTTAAGGATTAATTTCTTACTTAATTTTTCACTTCCTTTGCTAAGAATCTTGTATTTCACACATATATTGTACCTTGTATGTGTAAACATGCTGTTTGGCCAAAAATTTATATATTGAATGAAATTCAGAATCAAACAGGCCATCTTGAAAATGAAGTTCAAAATTTACAATGCACAACCAAGTCCCAACCTAATTCTAATCTAATTACCGGTACAGGAACACCAAGCCATACCTGGACGAGACACTGTTGATCTTACCAACTTTACCACCTCTTTCTAATCACCTAGACAGTAAAACCA